CCGGCCCTGCCTCCCAGCCGGAGCCAAGGCGGTTCGGTGTTGGGCAAAGCCGGACGTGCAGCAGGCAGCGCTCTCGGTGCCCCGGCTGCCGCCGCGTTTTTCAGCCCATGGCCTTGGAAATCCCTTGTAGACAAAGATTTGTTTGTTGGTGGGGGGGTAGACGGGGGGTTGCGGGGTTTTAGGGGTTTTTTTCCCTTTTAGGTTCTTTTCAGAGCAGATTCAGAACTGTAAGTTTTGTGTGTAGCTTTCTGTTTTCTCCTCTTGGTAGTGCCTTTAAATCACATAATGGGAACTTGTGCAGAGCTAGTTTTGACAACTGTTCAATTTCACATCAAAGAGGTTTAGCTTTAACTTACGGCGAGGTATGAATTAAAAATATGAGATGTTAGCTTGGAACTATCTGAAACACTTTAGATGGCTTTAACTATCAGCAACTGATACATTTTAGCTATACACCCCTGAACAAAGAACATAAAGTAATGAAGCCTGAACTAAGATTCAGAGGGGGGTCTGGAGAACAAGCCTTATGAGGAGCAGCTGAGGGAACTGGGGTTGTTTAGCCTGGAGAAGAGAAGGCTGAGGGGAGACCTCATCACCACCTACAACTACCTAAAGGGAGGTTGTAGAGAGGTGGGTGCTGGTCTTTTCTCCCAGGTGATGGAGGATAGAACAAGGGGAAACAGCACCAAGCTGTGCCAAGGGAGGTTCAGGTTAGAGATAAAGAGGAAGTTCTTTACTGAGAGGGTCGTCAGAAGCTGGAACAGGCTGCCCAGGGAGGTGGTGGAGTCACCATCCCTGGATGTATTTAAAAAGCTGGTAGACGAGGTACTTAAGGATATGGTTTAGGGGATAGACAGGAATGGTTGGACATGATGATCTCAGAGATCTTTTCCAACCGAGCGATTCTGTGTGATTCTGTGTGAAGATAGGTTTATTTTCTTTCATGCAGAGAAACTCTACAATCCCAGAGTGAAAAAGATTTCTATCTATGATGATGGCAGATTTTACAGGAGCGCATACGGTAACGTTAGGCTTTACTAGAATAGAGGAAACTGCTTTTAAATTGAAAATTTCACAGAGTAATGTTCATACTGCAGTAGTGTTTCAATGATGCTAACTGTTGTAACAATTGCTGGCTGAATTTACAGCTGAAGAATCTTACAATCCAACAGAAAAGTGGGAGGAAGGGAAA